GTACAAAAAAATTATTTTCTAATTAACGTGTTTAAATTGAAAAATTTTCAACTTCAAAAGATTTTATCAAAGAATTTAACTTTATTTTTTAATTTTGCTTGTATTTTTGTTTTTCAATCATTAAATATCGCAATCAAAAATATCGTAGCCCCAATTTTTTCTTTTACAATAAATTTTTTAATAAAAGATGAAAAGGTTCTAATAAGATTGGACTAATGAGATTATAAAATATTTCTATTTTTGTAATTATATGATTTTTTAGTATTAGAAAGAGGGTGGCGTACTTTTTGATTAAAAAATTTTCTAAGAATGATTTATAGTAATTTTTCCAAGGTAAATTTAAATTTGACGGGTCTTAATTTGAACTAATTTTAAATAATTCAAATCGTTTGTTCTGTCTGTACCCGAAAACAATAACTTTTTAAATTTACCACAAGTTAAAGAATTATAAAAAATGGGGAAATCAAAAAAATCAAACGTATCCCATGACAAAGTGTATCTTTTTTATCCCAGTTCGTTCCAGGGAGGAGAATAGGGCTGGTACATGACATGATATCGTAGATAACCATGAACCCGTTTCTTACGTCATTGAATTTGACTAGGTAGGGGACGAGTCTACCGAGATTATAATGACATTTATTGTTTTATTTTACTGATATTTTTAACATTGAATATTACCGAAATATGGCACTTAGTTAAAATTATTAATTATTTTGTTATTTAATATGTAATTTATATTAACTATATAATATTGAATATAATTTTTATAGTGACCGGACCCGAAAGCCCTCAGTTAAAGGACCAGTGTAATAACTACTGCACCATTGGTCACTAACATTTAGGACTTTTAATCAAATTAAAAACAATAAATAACTTACCAATTTTAGCGAACGCATTCTTTTGGGCTTTTTAAAAATTTTATTGGGATTTCCGTTTTTCTTGGTTGCTTTTAGAATTGAGATTGGAATTGCTCTGAAAATTACAAAACAAAAAAGAAATTTACAAAATTAGTAACTTTATTCAAAATTTTTAACTCAGAATAGTATGAAGAGACTATGTAACTTTGTAAAAAATCAAAAGGTCTTTTGAATTTCTTTTCATAATTCCAATATAAAACGGCTAATAGCCTTTATTGACTACAAAATTTTTAGCACTTAAATATTAAATAAAATTTGAAAATTGTGGAAGCGCGCTTTTCATATAAAGCTGTTTTCATAGCATAATTAATTTGAAACGGGAAACTTGACAGAACTGTCCAAATTTACATAGATTTGAGCATCACACAAGGAGTATGCGTATTACGTAACACCCGGTTTGAACCAAATAAATTTAATTTGAAAATATTCTTAAAATTTTTAATTGCAAATTATGTTTGATTTTGTTCGAATTCATCTTAAAGGCTTTCTCAAAATAAAAGAATTTGATACAAAACTATAATCCTAATTATAGCCTTTTTGAAATAAAATTGAAAATTTGTAAATATTTTGACTTTTTCCATTATTATTTTAATACGATTGAATAATTTATTCACATGAATTATAAAAGGATATTGAGGTATTTAGAGTAAGATCTTTACATTTATAGTTACTACATTACTCTAAACATAATAATAAATGCGAATTTTTGTTATACGTATATTAGATTATATAAATATTTGTATATGTATATATACCCTTAACGCGTCAATTAATTCAATTTAATTGTGAATATTTCATATAAATTACATATTTTTTTCTTTTAAATCAAGTTAATGAGCAAAAAATAAAGTCCGATTATAAGGATTCAACATGTCGTCTTATTCTTAAAATTATATAATTAAGGAAATCACAGAAATGTCAAATTAAAAGAAACAAAAGTCAAGATATTTTATTTTTCCACCCAAAAAAAAAAAACAAAGAGGAAGAGAAAGTCCAAAGGAAAAATGTAAAGAAAATGAGAAAATATATAAATCCTCCCGATTATTAAAATTGCTGGAGAAAAAAAAGACCTTTATCAAATTAAAAAAAAATGAAAAGTTAATGAGATTTTAAAATACTTAAAATTAGTTTAGATGTTTATTACTGTGTTAAAAATATTTAACACAATATTATATTGTGGAATCGTGTATGTTCAAGATGGAGGTTATACGCAAATAAAAAATAAACATGCACATATACAGTATACTTATATCATGTTCTAATCCCGTAATAAAGGTCAGGTAATTAGATACATCAAAAAAAATTTTGGTTTTTCTTTTCACGACTGATAAAACCACCAAAAATTTTAAACCCGCTGTCAAAGTATTAAGAAAATTTTCCGAAAGTTTTTTATAAAATAAAAAATTAAAAATGATTTAAATTTTTAATGTTGTAAAGGAAAGGAAAAGAATCAAAAGAAGTCAAATTTATGACTCTGGAATGTGATCCAATGATTTTGAGTGTTGCTACCACACAATTTACATTTACGCAACCTTTGGTATACTTTCAAAAATGTGTAATAAGTTCTTCGATTTTTGACTCACTTGTTTAAAATTTCAGCAGTAACACAATTTTAACGTGTAACCCAATTTACATAAATCTAATTCTGAAATACAGTGAATTTGTTTGATGCACTCGAGCAGTTACTTCGATAAGATCCAAATTAAACAGAATCACATGGTAAAATCATATGGTAAAATCGAATGGGTACCTATAAATTGATTTAATTCTTGATTATAGTAATTGATATAATTATACTAAAATAAGATTTATGATATTAAGACAGTTATAAATGTGAAGGAATCCAAAGCTTTGAACACAAATCTTCAAACATTTGACTGCGAATTATAGTCAAAGGTTTTTCATATTCACCTACTTGAATAGTAGTTTGCTTATTTATATTTAATGTTATTTTTTAAACACAACGGAAATTTCATTCTAATTCAAACAAATTACACCAATACATTACATCATTGGTCCTCTTGTCCTAAATCTCTCAATAGAAGTATACTCGCATATACATACTGAAAATGTATACATCAATTTTTCTAGTAACGTAACCATTTACTCAAGAGAGAAATTAAAATAAAATAAGATTTAAATTTTTAATGCAATAAGAGAGAAAATGATAAAGAGAGATTTATTGATTTAAAAAAAATTAAGATTTTTCAAAAAGGCACAGTTTTTCATTAAGCTCTTTATGATTTTTCGAAATAACTAACATGAACATAAAACAGAAGGTTTCCGGAAGGAAATAGGAAAGAAAACCCAAAAGTTGTTTTTGAAGTTTCATGACAGCTACTTTACTAGTTCATTAGTAGTTAAAAGTAAGTGTTTCACTGAATGATTGATTAGCTGACTTAGTTTTTGAATTGTTGCTAAAACTGATAGGTGGCAGGACAAACATACATGCAAATATAAATTCACTTAAAAAACTCGATGTTAAATAAGAATATTTACGTATGCATATTTATATTAACCAGAGTGTTCATATATTATTATCCCTTTAACCAGCTTTGAAAATCTTAGCGAGAAGTAAATTTGTAATAATATATATCCAACGTAAAATATTTTATACAGGCGTGATAGGACTTGCTTAAATATCGGACATAAGTGTACTGTATAGTTGTCTTAAACATTTATTCAATGTGGGGTCTAAATGAATTTACCTAATCGGTTTAAGCACGTTTTTGTAAAAATTGTTGAAATTCTAAATTATTTAAAAATTGTAATTAACTCAAATTAATTTACTAATTTTAATTGGAATTAAATGCTGTTAAGCTAACAATCACGTAGAATTCAACAATAAATAATGTGTGTTCAATGATTAATCTAACAAATCAAGCACAGAAAACAAACCTGTTCATATGTATTTACCCAAATACACATATTTTTTGAATATAAAAAAATTTAAAAATATTAAGGCTCCTGTATATACTTGTACTTGAAACTTTCTTAAAAATATCTCAGGGCAATGTTAATTTATATAGTTCTACATTGTTATTTATTCAAAACTATAAAAATAGAAAAAGGACTTAAATCTATTTCTGTCATTTAGGAAAAATTTCTGCAAAATTTTTACTTTCAGACACAGAACGAAAGACTTAACCTTTGCCATTTTTTTATTGTTTTTATTAAATCATTACAAATATCTAAAGTTTTTATGTGTTTCTATATACACCTACAAAAAAGTATGAAAAATTTGCTTTTCAACTCTTCCGAAAATAGATTTACAAATCGTTCCCGAAAGTTGAAATCCTTAACAAATTAATATTTAGTCTTCTTATAAGTTGCCCTTTTTTTAACTCAAAATAAGTTCAAATGTGTGTATTATAAATCAGGGTGTTGACATTTTGTATTTATAAATATTTATGAGGGTTTTACATATAAAGGATACACATAAAATGATTTTATTTTACTTCCGGTTTACGAAAGAAAATTTAATAACAAGAGGATCTCATAAATAATATTAATATTATCCTTGCAGTATATATAACAAGTAAATTAGTTTATGAAGGCGGATAGCCTTTTTTATATTACTAAAAATTTAGTTTTATCTTAATGCAAAAAAGTTAGTACAACAAAATTTCACTTTAATATTTTAAAAATGGCCATCATTAGACTTCATTTATAATAAAAAAGTTCTTAAATTTTTTCTTCGAATTTTTCAGACTAGGTTGAAAATAGCAATATTCAGATCATTCGCTTTATAAACAGTTTATTTTTCACTATAAAAATAATTATTCCCAATTTTATAGACGCAACAGAACAACTTTAGCAAACAAAGAGCAAAACTGACCAAGTGCAAAGTTGAATTTTTTTATAATTGGAATAATTAAAATTTTTATAAATTTCACAATTTAAATATTTTATTTATTTTTAATTTTTTCTTTTTCAAAATTCTATTTGGCTCTTTTTTTTATTTTTAAAACAAATTCTTTTCAAAATTCCTATTTTATGAAAATTCATTGAAAATATGTGTAAAATTTTGCGCTTGGTCAATTTCGCTAACATATTTACAATATATTTTTACCTTAAATATAGTTTCGAACTTTTTTACAGGTAAAACACGAGTTGCAAGTCCATCAATATCACAAGAAAAACGACAAGCTTTATTAGACTCTGACCCAGCAACTAGTGGTGAATCAAAATTAAAACCACGATCAAGGTAAAAATATAACATATTTTTATTGTATATATAATTATATTTTTATGCCATTGTATACCAACATTATTATGTCTTCTTTTCTACTTTAAATTTGACTCACAGTAATTCTATATATTTAAGCGTTTTTATAGAACCTTGAATCACAAAGTAGTCTTTGCCCTGTAATAATTAACCGAGCTTCCTTCTCGTCCTGATATTGAAACACATTTTCTATATCAGATTTGTGGAATTCCTGTAATTTTTATAAACTGCCTCTTAATTAATTGTTTATTTTTAGGAGGACGTAGAAGCGTTTTATTAAATTTTTTTTGTAAATTAATTGAAAAATGTTTCACAAAATATTATAGAAATATACTTTGTATAACATGTTATGATTACAGCATATGAAATTGAGTTGCTAACCAAAAATTTCTAAATTTCCTATACGTCCATATGCGTGTGATTTTGAAACCCATATACATTTTTACATTTATGTGTATATAATTTAGAAATAATTGATATTCTTGCAATTTTTATTTTTTATACAATCAATTTAATGTTTAATATATAATTAGAATTTCGTGAATAATAGCGAGAGAATAATAGAAAAATTTTATAAAATAACCTCATTATACTAAAAATATAATAATACTATTATATAATTCTCACAAAAAATGAATGAACACAAAAACGTAAATAAAAATTTCGAGGATGGAATGAAAAAAATTATGCTTGTTCAAAAATGTAGAGTCTTAACAATTTATTTAAGATATACTTGCTCTTATGAGCTTACCTTATTGCACTTAGTATGTAGTTGTCGTGAAATATTGTTAAGTTTCGCATGTTGGTTTGATCGTACAACCTTTACAGTCGATTTATAGACGTAATCTCTACAACTGTTTGTTAAAGGTTATTTTTTTTGCAATACTATACCCATTATTGAGTCCTTGTTTCAATTTAAGTCCATCCTAGCATATAAAAATTCCAATTTAGATGAAAATCGTTTTTTCGAAGTTTATTTTCTTTTTTTATCAAGGTTTATGATGTAAACAAAAAGAACCCTTATCAGTTGCAGAAAGCTTAAGCAAAAAAAAAATAATTTTTACAAAAATTGCTTTTCTATTTTCTTGAAGCAACGAACTGTGAAAATAAAAATCAAATAAAAAGATGAGAAACTTCTTAATCTATATTAAGGGAAAAAATTGAAAAAAAGACAGCAAATACAGCAGATAGAGATTACAATGTGAGAGTAAAAGAAATAACTTAATTGTTTCTGCCTTTTTAACGTCAATCAAAATATCAAAGTCTTTTTGTTTTCTTTTTTTTAAATTTAATACAATATGTATTATAGGCCAAGACATAATACAGAAGCTCATCACATACCTATACCTAAATATAGGAATTCCGAGGAGGTGAACGTCATATAAAAGTTTTTTATTAATTTTTAGCGAGCGCATTGCATATAAGAAGGGAGATTATGTGATGGCAAGAAATTTTGCATATCGAATTTTTGATGGAAACACACTTCTCCGTGGGAGGGAAGCGTAAATAAACTACTTTTAAGTTGAAAATAGAACAAGGGCGATTTTCCGTTGCGAAATGTCAGAATTCACAAGAATACAACTATTTGAATGAGACTGCCCAGAATCAAGCGAAGAATAGCCTTAATTCCTATTTTACCGCTGTTTTTTGTGATATTATCTGTTTCCATAAAACAAATTTGCTTGCAAATGGGTGTGACATTATGTGAAACTAATGTTCAATTTATTTTGCTGTTGCCGCTCACCGCTTTGGCTCCGTTTTCGCAATTACAGAAACATCGGCCTGTCGGTCTGTGTTTGGACGTGTGTATTTTAAGTTCAACTGAATCAATTTTTATGAAATTTTATATGTAAGCTTATTTTGGCTATGTCACGATTTGATCAACTTTTAGGAGATACCAGTGAAATATACCTTTTTGTGACTGATTTACATTTTTGCGCTACAAAGAGAAATATTCAACCGATTCAATCCGCGAAATTTTCTTCTTTAAATTCAGGGTGCTAAAATAATGAACTTATAAATTTTTTTGGAAAAATCTGAGCTGGCAAGCTGAAATAGCGGCCGATTTTACAATTTTTATTATATATATACTGAAATATAATTCATGAAATTTCTTAAAATTTAATTTCGCTAAACAATAGGCAATATACGTTGCGGTCGGCTATGTATCGACCACACCAGATGTTTTTCTATTTTATTTTGTTACCATCTTATTTGAACATCTTTTCTTAAGATATAAGAATACTTTACGAATACCAAATGAAAACATTTTTTTGGTCAGTTAAATATGAAAATAGTTAAAATTATAAAATTCTTTAACGTACATAAATTATTATGAACAAATGATATCAACTGCTTTTCATTATTTTAAATGATTTTTACACTTAACTAACTAATTTCAAGAGAAGCCTCTTCGATTCTCCAAATGCGTTAATAGAGTAATGAAGCGTTCAATAAAGGAATTGAAATATTAAAAAATACCCATATTTAATTAATACAAGATAAATAGTGAAAGTATCATAGAACTTCTATCACGCCCCCGGGTGTCACTTTTCCATATGAATTGTAAATACTAATTTATCAATTTTGAACTATAATCAAACTAGTATTATGCAGTATTCGCTAGTTTATTAGGTAATTTAAATGAATTGTACGTCTTTATCTCATTGTATCAAATCGAAAAAAACATAAAAAATAAAGAAAAAAACCAGAATTCTAACTTTAACGAGCTTTACCTCAAGAACTATGGCTCAATTCTAATTGATTGTAAGATCGAAAATAAAGAGCAATTAATTAAGTTTAAAACAAGTTCCCAATAATTACTCCTTGGTGCATGGTTCCGAAGTTATGAGCATTTATTTGTATGCAGCAAAAACCTTGTATCTTTTTTTTTTCAAAAAAAGTTTGCAGACTGTAGCACTAAAACGAGTATATCTGCACCCTTCACCCACAATTTTTTACTGAAAATTTATCAAAGAATCATCCCTAAACCCTTAATGCGAAACACCCTGTATACTATATTAATTTAATTTTTTTTTCTTTATTCTCTTCTCATATTATAGGTCCTTAATTCGACGATCATCAAGGAAAACAAAACAACAAATACAAAATGCAAATGATGATTGCAATATTCAATAGATGAATTTAAAATAAAAAAAAAAACAATAAAATTTATTGCTTTATATAGGCTTTTTAAAAAAAAATAATAATAAATTAGAATTTATTTTGAAATTGAGAATAGTACATATATATTTATGTATAGATAATAATAATATCATATTATAATAATTAAATTTAAAAAACAAAAACATTTAATTCTTAAGTTTAGGGATCAAATTATAAATAAATGTTAAAAGCAAACATGCATACATACATATAGGTAATTATGTAATTGTTTAACTGTGAGTTATTTTGTAAAAAAAAAATGGTAAGAAAAATGAAAAAAAAAATTAAATAAATAAATTTTTTTAATATTATATAAGCGTTATGTAAATTTAAAGTTTTTTTATATGTTTTTTATTTTATAACAAAATATATATTTAAAAACTAAATAATTATAAGGTAAATTTGTTTAATTGAAATATCAAAACTTTATTATGTAAAAAAAACAAAAATATAATTACATATAGAATTTATATAGAGAAAAAATTATTGAATTGTAAATGGTAATTAATTTTATCAAAAGCAACAATATTTTAAAATTAAAAATTAGAAAAAAAATACAAACAAAAAATATTTATTATCAATTTATCAGAAAAATTAGGTCCAAAACTTTAATAATCTTATTATATATATAAGCATATTACATAAAGACATACATACATATATATCTATACATACATACTTAAAAGCTTCTTATAATATATAATACACAAATTACAAAAATATCTTTATATAGTAGTTATAAATCAAAACCCTTACAAAAGTATATGAAAACAAAAAACCCTAAAAAACATTTAAGAATAAAAATATACTTGAAGAATTTAAATAAATAAAAAATTAAAAAAAAAATAGCTTTAAGACACTGATGAGTATAAAAAAAAAAAACTTTACGCTATATACTAATTATGTATTTGACTTCAATGAATTTATATCTATAATTATTTAGAAATACACACTTTATGTAAAAACAAAGAAACGAGTTATAAATATAGGAAAATAATTAATAATAATTGTATGTACTCAAACACAATAAATCAAAAAAAAAAATTTGTATGGTAATCAAAATTTGAAATTTCTACTTTTTTCATTTCTTTTTTCCTTAACAATTTAATTTTCAAATAAAGGGAAATGGATTCAATATTGTTTGTAAATTAGAACCAACTGGCCAATTACAGCAGAATTAATCAAAATTGTCAAATCATTCTTTGTTATTACAAACAAATACAAATTGGTTAAATTTTAATTTTAAATAAATTACTTTCCTCTACACACGAATTACCAAGTATAAAAATTCCCTTGTATATTGTATTCCGAGCAAATATAAAATATTCTGCTTTTACAATACATGCTTATTAATAAAATAATTTGTAATATTAAAACGGTTTTATAACAATTGGGCTAAATTATGAAGGGCAACCATATGCAATTTGATAAACTAACATAATAAGAAGATAGCTTGATTATTCTATAGCATTTCACGTTTTTTAAATGGAAAAAAATCCAAATATATACAGTATACGACGTAATGATGCCAAGTACATAATCTCCAAATCTTAAATCATTGATATTTTGGAAGTATAATTCGAAAGCTAGGAGGAAACAAGGGGGATTGGAGGAAGTACAATAGATCCTTATTAGCGGTCGCGGGGGGCTCTTACCTCGGTTCTACAAATTTACAACATTTATTATTTGCTGTTATTCTGATCTTCAATTTAATTGCAGAAAATTCTACAATTTTTTTTTTAATAATGAAAGTCTTTTCTTAAATAATTTTTTTCTTTAAGCCTTTATGCTGTAAATTTTATTGATTCAATATAATTTTGTGCAACAAATGTTGATTTTAAATTTAAAGTTCAGTAAAATATTATGTAAATTTTATAAGTACTGAATAGTGCTTATAAATTATTAAAAATCAATTATGTAGTAATATGGTTATCGAATTTCATTCAACTAAGACATACATTTTTGAAGTCTTCTTAAAATGCAATCCCCGAAATAAATTTAAAATCATACTCCTGCCTTATCGAACTCAAGTTTTATTCATTAGTCAATTTTATCTTAGTTTAAAAGTGCAAGCATGTATGTCACTAATAAAATTCAAAAACCAAAAGTTATATTGAGTTCTATAATACAAAATGGAAGAGAATATTTGTTTTAATATGTTATATTCCTTTATACTATACGATATATTTGGAATATAATAAACCCTTTTAATCTAATTATCTTTTAATATTGTGATATAATATGTACTCCAAAAATAATATTCTGTAGTAGAGAATTAAATTTTGCACAAAAATTTTATTTTATAAAATAATGAAGAAATTCAATAAAACAATTTAATTTTTAATGATTAATTAACATTTTATTTGAAATATTCATTAAATATAGCAAAAAAATCAAAACCGTATATTATATTCAATTTTTTGAAAAATATTAAAATTGAATATAATAAGTAAACTCTGTATGAGCTATTAAGCTCTTTTTGAGAAAAAAAAATTAATGAATAAATAAAGAAATAAAAATAAAATCCACTTTCAAAAAGTAAGTAAAATTTTCAATAGTCTCATTAACACGACATCTTTTACTCATTTATTCATATATAAGATCACCAGATTATTCAAGGATTAATTCAGAAATTTTCATCACATTAAAAAAAACACAAACAAACACACACGTAATATAGTTGTATACTTTTATGCATAATAAAATCAACAATAATTCGAATTTATTACATTATATAAATTTACTAATTAGCACAGAAATAAAAGTATTTAAAAAAAAAATTGAAAAAAAAAACTCGTCAATAGCATGTTTATTGTGATAAAATAAATGAAAAAAGTTGAAATTTTACCACAAAAAAAAATTTATTATATATTCATAATAACTGCAATGGAAAAAAAAATATTACAAAATGAAAGTAAATAATTTTATTATTAAAAAAAAATATTATGTTTGACAAAAAAACGTGACCGATTCATTTTAAATGTTATAACAAACTGCAGAACAATTAAAAGAAAACAATTTATTTTAATTAAAAATTAGTTAACGGATATTAATTAATACATAAAAAATAAAGTATTGTATAATTGTTGTAAAAATAATGTTAAAATAAAATTTAACAAAAAAAAACTATATCGATGCAAAGTGAATTGTGATGAAATAATTAGAATTTTTTTAATAAAAATGTTATAAAATTAAATAAAAAAAAAAAAACAAAAATTAATTATCATTGAAAATTAAAATACAAAACCAAAAAAAAAAAATTGAGCTCAAAAGTAAATATTCAATAAATTAAATTATTATATTGTAATTGTAATAAAAATGTAAAATCAAATTTATTTATCAAATTCGATTTTAAAGGTATTTCATTATAAATACAAATATTATCTAAACAAAAAATAGATTTATGTATTTTATATTAAAATTCCAATTTACATGTGTGCATATACAATCAAAATTTTTTAAAATCGGATTTTGCTAAAAATAGCTACAAACTGTTTTTCTAAATAAATATGCAGTTTCAGATGTTACTCCAGAACCATTGAGAGTAGTTTTTAAAAGACACATTTTTTTATGCTACTGTATTGTAAGAGAGTAAGGACTAACCTATAAATTTAAAATTTGATGATTATTTCCCAAACGAAAACCTTAAGCCATCTCCCCTAATAATAAATATGCATGTATACAATATAACTGCTCCATTCAATTAATTTCTTGTATAGTATAGTTAGGGGTTTTTATTTAAACATATACGAGGACATGACCTTGTAATGCAATGGTATAATTTCAAAATTTACTAAAAATTGACACATAATTTTATGGTTTAGGCAGCCTCCCGAATCACTAGAATAAAAAGCTAAGAAATGCCATTTATTTCTGAAAGATTTTCCAAAATAAAAAATTTTATATCGATTATTTTCATTTTGATTCAGTGAATTTAGTAATTCGGTGATTTGAGTTATCAAAATTTGGTACATTTCCATATTTCTAGTATTTTTTTCACCTTTTCGTTAACATCTCAGGAAACAAAAAAAAATTGATCAAATCATAAAAGAATTCGATTAAATAATTTTGATTGTATATATATACATACAAACACACAAAATGTATATGTTTATATAATATACAACATGCATACATTTAAAATATTATATATAGTTAGATATCAAAAACTGAAATTATAATACATACATTATAGACTATAGTACATTATTAGAATTATCAATAATAAAAAGACAATTCGAATTTAATATGATAAATTGTTATGAGAAAAAAGCAAAATACATACATGCACACATATATACATACAATTTTTAAAAGAAATATTTTTGAACTATAAATTATGATTCTATTTTCCAAAATCATTATCAAAATCAAAATATTGGCATTAATATTTATAACTGCTAGTCAACTACAACCTCGGTTTAAATAACTTCGGTTGGCAGTAGATCAAAATATCGTTCAAAATTTAGAACAAGTTGACTAATTTAATGAGGATAACGAGTTTGTACATTTTGTTTACATTTTGCAACAAATTTTGACTGCATTCTTAAAAGTTTCGAATTTTTTCTTTAACTAAATAATTCTTGAAATGCTTCTTTCGAAATACGTTGATTAGTTTATTTTGTAAAGAAAAAACTTGTGAATTTTGATACCAATTATATGTAAGTATTAAGTAAACATCGATTATTCAGCGATTATCGATTCATCGATTATCATATGTATGTAAATGTATGTATAAAAATTTAGTTCATTTTTCTTTTTTTAATTTCTATAATAATGATTAAAGTTATACTGTAATATTGAAATTTCAACTAATAATTAAATTATATATTACATAATATATCAAAAAGAGCCATTAAAATACTTATAAATAAAAAATAATGTATAGTGACAAATTTTCGAAATTGTAGTTTTATCATCTATATAATAAATATTATTGAAAGCTAAACTTATGTTTTATTTAATTTTAAAAGAAATATCCGTAAAATTTTTTGTTTCATATTTTTGTTACAATAGAAAGGATTGTGATTGAATAGTGTTGAAGAGTGAGTAGTTCTAATTCCATCAGTATTTAAAATTAATTTCTAAACTCGTAATGTATTACACACGGATATAGAGCTTGGAGATAACTAATCATCGGTATATCATATTAAATATTGCAGAAAATTTTCATAAATTTCTTCTTTTTCGAAAGATTCTTCTCATTTTGTAAAAAAAAGATATTCAATCAATGTCAAAAGTTTTTTTTTTGTTTTAGCCCTAAAATGTTAAATTTTATACTCGTAAAAACAAATTTTCTCTTTGACAATAAAATTTTCGGATTTTGTTTTTCTTTTGTGTTATTGGAATTTTTATAAGCAATCCATTATATTAAAACAACATTAAAGGAAAATAGAAAAAAAATTGCTTAATAGTTTCAACCTCAATAAAACACATCCACACTAAATGCAGAATTTTAACAGCCAAATATGTGATCCTTAAGGAAATTAAATTGAAAGATGACATACATATATCAAAATTTCTGGAGAAAAGAAATGAAAAATTATAAAACTCAAATTAAAATTTACAAGCAAAAATACGCGGTTTTTATAGAAAAGGCATCGTATGTATGTATGAAAGTACAAAATTTAATAAGAACTTCATATACACAACAATGTAAATTTATATGAATATATGAGTACTCGAATATATATGTATATGTATGCATACATATGTGTATGCATATTCACATATCATGTAGGTGAACAGCATTAATGATGTTCTAATTCAGGGGTCCGCACATCGCAACCCTTTGAAACCCTTTGAAACTTTTCGGACGGCCTGCCAAAGCATCAATATTATTTTAAGAAAAATCAACAAGCATTAACAGTAAGGGTGCCGAAATGTGACCGATGATCAAAATGTGGGGTAACGGAAGCAATGCGAGAAACATATTTTATTGCAGAAATTTATTCTGCATTTTTCAGTGAATTTATTTCTTAATAAAAATATGTTTTCTATAATTATGTATTTTTAATAAAAGCGTTATATATAAGTTACAATGTTACAAGAGTTACAAGAATGTGAGACGCGCATAAAAATTTTATTTTGAAATTATTCCGCCGTGCGATGAAGTTTACCGACCCTGTTTTGACTAATTGATGTGCATACCTTGAAGGAAATGCATAATAATCCAAAATAATACCCCAAATTATTGCAATAATGCAACACTAGAATATTCAAATAATTCTTAATTTCTTAAAAATCATTTGAATTAATTAATTCTTGTTATACTATTGTTTGCTGTTATAAAAGCTCAATTGATTGAAACTTGAAGGTCAGATTTTATGGAGCAAGAATTAATGTATGTATATTTATATTTACAATATCTCAACTCAATATTTATTAACGTTACAAACGGAGTGGCAAATTTATAATAAGCGAATTGTATTTTTATGGTTTAATCAATGAAAATATAAAAAAGGTTGCAGTTTTTTTCTACATGTATGTAGGTATTTTTATATAAACTAACTTACTACTATAATACTAATACAATTTTCCCATATATTCAAAATTTATGAACTGAAAGGAGATTCATCAAAAAGCCAAAATGAAACTAAATTTTATTGTTGAATATCATATTGAATAAGAAGTCATAAATATTGTAAAATTATTCTTAAAAAAACATACAATATAGTGACAAATATATTTGTTTTATTACTCCTTCCGTATACGGTGCATATCATGTCTTGATAAGCTTTATTTAATTTTCTCCATATTTACATGTTTTAATAAATGCATTATAGTAAATGTATTATAAGTAATTATGTAATTGCTAACTTAAATAAATAAAATTTAAAATATTATTTTTTAACTAAAATTAAACGATTAAAATTTACCAGTTACCTAGTTATGTCCTCTAATGAAAAACAAGTATAACTTAATATAACGCGATATGGAAATACATTATGCACTATGGATTAGCGATTACAATCCTTAACACATATTTAGGAATATTCTGCAAGAATGAGGAATAGTTTAATTTCACATGAAATCATACATATATCCTGAATTTATTAATATTGTTGAATGAGTTTTTCAATACTTTATAAAGTAAGGTTTAGCTATATAACAACGTAAAAGAACACAACACACATAAGTAAAACTGAACTACTATGTTGCAAATTTATCAAAACAATAAAGCAAATTTTCTTCCGTATTACTAATACCTTGCGAAATAGTTGGTATCTTAATACACTTAATAGGAATAAAATATGAAAAATAACTATGAATTCTTAATAAAAAAGTTAATAATAACTCTAGTTTGCATTAAAAACTTACATATTTCGTTATCTCTTTGTTGAATCCACATGTAGAAAAACTTGAGAAGGCTATTTTGTGCATTATTTTCACTCCATGTCTCCGTTTCAAACAAAGCCAAATTAATTATTTTTTCATTATTGTGAGGACAAGAGAGAAATGTTAACATTTATTAAAAACTTTTACTGCAAAAAAAAAATTTTTTTAATTTTCATAAAAAAAAATTTAATTTATTGTTTTCGTTTATGCTTTTTTATTTCCAAAGAAAAAATTCTATCAAAAAAATATTATTGTAAACAAAAAAAAAATCGGAACGCACTCAAAAAGGAAATAGCAAAGAAAGGACATCATTTCAAATTAAAGCGAAAATTTGTCAAAAAGAGAAAACTTCAAAAAGGATATAAGGAGTTATGAGTGGGCATTGATAAAAAAAAAGTGATTGATGACTAAATATTATAAAATTTTTTTAATTAAATTTGGACATACATATGTTTATATGTATGTATTTAAATTACGTTTGTAAATTCTTTTGATCGGATAGAAACAGCAAAAAATTCAAAGAACCGTCATGCTTTTAAGTTTTCATAGTTTCTCCTTTGAATTATTTTTTCGCAATGTTCATTTTTTCCCCAATGTTCATTTTTTTTTAGTATATGTAGTTAATTATCGAAAAAGCAAAAAAAGAATAATTAAATTTATAATTGATCAAATCTTTTTAAGCAAATTCAAATTAAACATCCATAAGTATGGTACATTTGCAGAACCTAAATTTTTAGACCAATACAAAACGATTCTACGTATCACTTTGTAAAATGCTTAAAAAGATTTCGTGTACCATGAAATCCTTTGTATGCTAAATTTTCTATATGCATGCTAAATTTTTGAGCAATCTGTATAAAAATTTGGGAAATTTAATAAAGTTGACATAAGCAAAATCGACTTTTTGTTACAATTTATTTAAAATTTTAATTTCAGATTAAAATATAAATTCCAGATTAAGATAATTAAACTTATTTACTAAAACTTACAAAACTAGTTTAAATAAAAATATCTAGCATACCTTATTATAAATAATGAAAGAGTATTAAATAGCACTGATAAGTAGCTAAGCTTCTATTCTTAAAAAATTGCACATTATTACGGATATATCAATATTATTTAAGTATATGAGATCTAAGCATGGAATGTTTATAACATTTCAAACAAAAATAGTAAAACTTAACTAACTTTTTAACTTATTACTATATTTTGTAAAATTAACGTTTAATTGTTGTTTCAATCAATAAATTAAAATCAAGTTCATTGAGACTTGCTTTAGCCGTTAAAAGATTTAAAAATGTATCAAGAGGTAAATCATTTTCTAATGATAGTCCATTTGGTCTTTTATTTGAACCCGTATACATCTGTTTCGGTTGAACTGCATTGCCTGAAAGTATATTGCTAGCATGTTCACGTCCACGTATCATTAATGATATGGGATCATTCCAACTTTTTAAAAGTCTTTGAGCTCTAGATTTTGGAAGGACAGATAAAAGAAACAGCTTTTGATTTATTCCCTCCTTTGTGTCTGCTATATCATTAAAAATTACTTTCATTACATCAACTTGTAGTTCGAAAACATGATTTGATACATATTGCATAAACATATCAAATGATAATGCTCGATAACCCAAATATGTAAAGAATGATGAAAATCCTTGCGGTAAGGGAAAAGCTATAGATTCAACAGCTAGACAGTATCTTTCTAGTATTAAAAATAATGAATGTTGCTGATTATGATTCATTTGGTCAATCAATTGAAAACCACGAGCAGTTTCAAACCTGGCATCTATACCTGCTGCTCTACAGGTTAAAGCACATAAAGCCCGAGAGATTTCCAATTGAGCAGATACATATTGTGAAGCTACAGAATGTACATGTGTAAATGTTTGAGATTTATCAAAAAATGCTTCTCTTAACCACCTGAATCCGGTATTTTGTTTAGCTGAATGTTTAACTAAATGTACACTTAGTTCTCTTAAATTAACAGAAATAATATGTTCCTGTTTAGTGGCTGTGCAAGATTCAAACTCAATAAAAGGAAGTAAATCATTTTGAAATCGCCTTGATGTCATATTAAATTCCATAATACTTCCTGCAGTTGGTCCAGGAGATAAAGGTGTTGTACATCTTGACAAAGCTTCAGGTTGATAACACACTAAAGAAAAAATTAATTTTTCTGAAACTTGTTCTGAATTAAAACGTTTCCTTTCTTTGCTATTATCGTTTAACTTATCCCAAAGTTTAGTCCACATATCTGAACGGTAAGGTGAAAGTCTTTGTTGTGGAGACAACAACATCATTGTTGTATTCCATAAATTCTCATGAGAAATACCAACAGAAACATCAGAAACTTTAGCATGCGATGGTTTGCGTGAATTTAGAGTAGTGAAAGGTAATAATTTTGCTAAAGCTACCGCTTCATCCGGTAACGACTTTGTTGAAGAAGCGTAACTTCCGGCAAGAAGAGCTTCCTTTAGTAATGGAACCGTATCTAATGAAAGCGGCTTTTCCATTATAATGCTTAAAAGTTCTGCTAGCACATCCATGTCATTGGAATGTATCAAAAAGTAATGTAAAATACTTAGCCGGTTATCAATGGATTCATCATTACGAAAAGCTTCAATCAAATGATATTTTGGCACATTTAAAGAAACCAAGTCTAAGGTAACTGAATCAAATGCTAAGCCATTCCATTTCCTGCATGGAACAAGATGTGAAAATTGGTTTTTATTAAAGGCTGGACATACTATGTGACACCCAGGTTCATGCGTATGTCCAATATCTAACAAATGTGCAAATAGACCCGGTTGAAAAACTAATAAGTGATGATCACCATGTAAAACAAAAGTAGGCCTCATTATTTTACCAATGTCCCAAGGAACTTCAGGCATTACACAATGTATCACGCATCCGTGATGCAACACCGTTACTGAATAAGCAAAATGTACTGTATCCACTTTTTCTGCAAATCCTTCTTCGGTTGGTGGTTTAACTGGCTGATAAAAATAATAGTGGCACACGAAAAACATTCCTGAGTCATCTGCCAATATAACTAATTTTAAGCAATTATTGTGGATTTGCAAAGGAATAGTTTCATCATCATAAATATTTGAACTTGTTGAGGATTGCGGAAGCTTGGGGAGATTTAGAGGTATATTTAAAACTGTTTCTGTTGGCAAATTTTCATTAAATTGATAAGCAGATAATGTTGGGTTAGATTCTCCATTTTTTTCAGTCTTTCGGCCTTCTAAAGAACTGAAAACAGTTTGCTTCATGTGAATAAAATAAAGAGATTGATTTTCGCAATCCCATTGAGCCCAGCTAAAGTTACGCACCAAAGTTTCAGTAACCAAAATTGATGAATCAAAATACCATGTTGTCTCATCATCAAAATTTATTTTGCAAACATCTGATTTTGTTAAACGTCTTTTAATTGTACTAGTATACAGCAATATTGATTCCTCATGAGTAAATATCAAAAATTTGTCTTGGTAAATTTTATCTATTGGATTATTGCTGTTGTTGTTTCTCCATAGGAACTGGCACATTATTTGTTTCTCTTTACCAATTTTAAATAAAGGAATTGGTTCACTTTTCTCGGTTGACTTAATTTCTACAATAAATGGTTGATATTCGTATTTAGTTCGTTCACAAGATTCATCATGAATTTCTGTTTTTGTAGTATACAACAATAATGAATGTATAACATTTACTGAGGCTTGTATAGGATTTATACACTTTTCAAATTTTCTAAATATTTTAAAATACTTTTGTTTGGGAAGAAAAGCACCAATTACCGAATATCGATTTTCCTCTTCATTAGGTGGTATAAAAATGCAAGATAGTAATAATATTCCATTTTGCTCTTGCCCAAGCGCTTTCCATTCTATAGCTTTCTCTTTAATCCCTTGATTTACTAATATGCCACATAAATTTGCAGCTAAATTTTCTTGTTTAGTCATTCAAGCACCAATTTTTCATACACAACTCAAGAAGTTTTTAAATTTTCAAAAGAAAAAATATGTATGTATACAACAATTGATAAAAAGTCAAGAAAACAAGTTATTTGTCAAATTCCTTATCAGTTAATCTTCGTTAAATTTTGACGTTTTCTTTTCATGAAAATTTTTTTCGCCTCTGTTTACATAAAAATTAATAAAATGCAAGAACTAATATGCTTCAATTTTTCGTTGTTATTGTCGTTCTGATGTTGCCGTGAAATAAAACGACGGCTGGTTCACATTAATATTTTCAAAGATTTTTATTTGGTTTCTAGCTAGCCTGCGAGACATAAAAGAAAAAAATTACTGAAAATTGACATTTCGCTATATTACTTAACGTACTTTACGTTTTAAAGAGGAATAATATTTTCTATAACTAAGACTAACTATAACCAAGACTTATTCCAGTAGTTTCCACATATTTTACAAATTTTTAACCAAATTTTTTTGTGTTCTAAACATATCATGTACTAGTAGCGCTAACTATAATGACGTTAAGGTATCTAAAGGTGGTTTATGTGCAATGTATGAAATGTCATGCATATAATCATAATATCCTTAGCTATCTAGCTTTCGGTAACTTTTGGAAACTTTGGTCATATATGCATTTTAAATTTTAAGTCCTTTAAGTTTTGTACCATTCAGCCTATCCTATTAACCTATCTATTATGTATAGTTAACTTTAAATTTTTAGACTTTAGCGAAAACTGGGGCAATATCGAGCATTATTTGATAGCTTACCTTAAGGTATTTCACGACTATAATAGTTGGTCCTAATATTTATAATTATATTACATTCGTCAATAAAAAATTGAAACATAACATTCGTTAATAAAAACATTGCAATCGTTTTTTGCTAAATATATGTGTATCAGAAAATTTTTTAAATTTGGTGTTTAAAGCAAAATCAAATTGGTGATTTACTATATTTGAAGGAACAAATTATATATAGTTATTATATAAAATTAGAAGAGAAAAATATTTGAGTTCATAAAATTTTTCTCCAAACAATTAGTATTGTTAAGTATATACGAAAAATTAAAACTTATTTTGTAAATTTTATAATAATATGGTAACACCACATGGATGTGAAAACATTCGTTAAAATCATATCAGTAATTTTTGACGAACACATGTTTATTGACAGTTATGTTATGTCGAACGAATAAAAATAAATATTCCGTTTCTCTTTCATTCTAATATTACAGATGTACCGGAAAATGCATTTTTGAAAGAGAACGAATGATAACAAAAATCAGGTGTGATGTTAGAAAGGGAAAGAAAATTTATATGGCTTTCACGAACCAGCAATGTTTTCTTTTCGTACCTTCTTCGTTCATATGGATATGACTTTCCTTGATTTTATTGGGATGTAATGGGTATGTATATGTAATTCGTATCATATGGAATGGAGTAAAAGTTTTCAAACTAAAAATATTCAGTGAAAATTTTACAATTTTAAACTATTTAACATTTATCAGAAGAGCATTATATAAAAAATATTAAAAAGTCTTTGCGTTTGTCAATTTTTTTTTATAAAATTTAAGTTCAATTTGAATATAATCAAGTGAATTAAAGTAAACAATATAAAAAAAAGTCGCGCAATAAAAACTTTCGCGAAGTTTCGTTTTAACACCGAAAACTTATTAACTTTTTTTAGAAAGAAAAAATAGAGAAGTGAGGAAGGAGAAATATTTTTAGTAAAGAGCACGTAGGCAATTCATTTTTCAGTTTGATTTCTTGAAGCTCTGAGGAATATTCTTTATTCAATGTTATATTATATTTAATATTCAAAAATCTTTATTAGAAACTAGAAAAATTTATTGGATATTGAATAACATAAAATAATATCTAATAAGCAATTAATAGCGAAATATTAAATTTGCTTTTAAATTTATGAAGGTTAGTGTGAAACTATAAAAAAACTACCTATCCTCAATTACCGAATTGTGCCGGTTTTTCAATGATATAAAATTAAAACTTCGCCATTGTTATCTAAGCAATAGTGTGTTTGATCAATTTTATAGATTTTTTTTTCAGTTATTTTGACAAACAAAATAAAAAATATTTCCTTGCGTAATTCAAAATAAATTTCATTGTTTCAAAAGTTAAAAAAAAAAGTAAAATTAAATTAATAAGAAAAATATTTAATAAAATTTTTTACATAAATTTAATTAATAAAATATCCGTCAAAATAGGGCATAAAACACTAAAATATATTTTAAAAGGCCCACTAGAGACTAGTAAAAATAGTGAAAAATTTTTTAGAAAATGTCTTCCAGTAAGACAAAAACAAACTGCGGTACATCAAATCGCGATCAAGATGGAATACCCAAAAATTGGGAAGATTTAGATATAACACCACAAGAATTTGATTCTATACGTGATGCTTTTAAGAGAGAAGATTTTTGTAAAATGTTTTCTGACTATTGTAAAGAGATGTCAGATCCTAGTACGAGAATGAAATATCAAGAAGAAATGAAACAATTGGAAGCTGAAAGAGGTGTTGATATAACATTTTTAAATCCAACACCACATTTTGTAATAAAAACTTCATCAAATGGTAAAATAAAATGCTTCATTAATATCGCTTCAAACGACCAGATAGATAAACCATCAAATGAAGTTCGTTTAAATGAAGAAACTGGTAAAAAGGAAATTTTTTGGAGATTACCATATGCGCAAGCTGAACCGCGACCAGATTTTGATAATAAAAAGAATCGTTGTGTTGTTCATGATGTAATATTTCATCCTGATGCTATACATTTAGCTGAACGTAATTCTATGCTAAGGCGTCACTTGGTAAATACTGCATGTGATGCCGTCGAACGCGAATTTAAAGTTCAGTTAGATCGTACTAATTTGAAATTTCCTAAACTTAAATATAAAGGCGTACCAAAAGTAACCGTTAAGAGAAGGTTAATGGATCAAAATTCCAAAGAATATGAATCTAGTCCATTGGATGAACATATGCCTCCAATGCCTGAGGTTAGAAAAGGTAAGCATTTTCTCTTTTTAAAATTTTGTTTAATAGATAATACAGGCATTCTTATATAATATATATGCATATATGCATGTATTTAATAATAGATAAAACATCATCATAAAATGTTTATGACAAGTTTTTGAATCAGGATTAAATCATTTTACCTTATAAGTAGGTTTAGTCAATTAAATCTATATCTATTAATCTATATCTGCAATAGAAAATTTATATGTAAGTAAAAACGTAATTTTCCAGTTATTTTTGTTTCTAAAAATTTAATACTACTTAAGTGTCAACTATGTACCCACCTATACCCAAGTACCTATTTAAGTATACACAAATAAAATTCATATTATTTAATCAATTAACAATTTTTGTTTTTGCAATCAAAAGCTATCTGTTAGTGTATTTCCGTATTCTAATTTTTCTATTTTGTTTAGGTACATGCCTAAGTATTTTTTGAAAACTATAACTTCTACAGTGATTTTCACATTTTTGTTGCATAGATTTATTTCTATGTGAATTATTAATTTGTTTAAATATGAAAATTAGTTGTAATATTCTAAGTAAATTAGTTGTAATATTCAATTTTTTGATAATCCATTTCAGGGCAAGAAATTCCTAAAGTTTATAAGTCAAAAGATGTTGAACCAGATCAGTATACAACCCCCAAATATTTATTAAAACATCGCCGAGATGTTGATATGTCAGAAATGACATATGAATTAGACGCTAAATTAAATATAACCATTCCTAAAGAACTTGTAATTGAAATTGAACTTCCGCTGTTGAAAACTACGGCTGATTGCAATTTGGATGTGACAGAACGCAAACTTTATTTTAACAGTGAAAAACCGGCTAAATACCGGTTAAATATTGATTTACCATATCCAGTTAAAGATCAATTAGGTTCAGCAAAATTTGATAAAAGTACGAAAAAGCTCGTTGTCACTCTTCCAGTTCATTCTGAAGCAGAAAGGTGTATTAAAGATCTTTATAGAGAAGATAGTGGCGTTGAAAGCGATCCAAGAGAAGAAAACAGTTCTCTTGATTCGCCAACTCGCAAAGACTCCCCAACTCCTGAAGATTTTGGGAAAAATAAATCTGTACCTTTGGTAGAAGAATTAATAAATTCCGAAGATAATTTAGATGAAGGATTTACAAGATCTGAATCAATCACTCAAGAACAAACTAATGACGATTTCTTAAGAACAGATGTTACCTATAATCCAGTGACTAACTTTGATTGTAATGCATTGGATAACAATTTAGTTTTTGTATTGCAAGTTAAAAATGTTGATCCACAAACAGTTGAGTTTCAGAAATCTGAAAACTATGTTAACTTGAAATTCATTTCACTAGGGGCAGGATATTACCCCGTCTATTATTCATTTTATTTAAAATTATCTAATGAAGGTAGCGATCACGAAATTGAGAGTGTCGATGCTGAGGCTTGGGATAATAATGTGATACTAACGCTAACGTTGAATAATTTAGATGGTTTATCAGAATATTCAGCTGGTTTGAATGAACATGATTTGAAACAGTATAACACTCCAGGAAATTTCAACTCCTACAACAAATTGGCTAATAGTAGTAATCTTAAAAGAGACGGTTTAGAGATTAAAGCAAATGAAATTGAAAATCATAAGTTTGATATTGAAGTTAAACATTGTAATGATTCTAATCAAATTGAATTGGAGATAAAACCCAAAACAGAATCGAATGAAAATATTGATCTGGTAAATGATGAAAAATTTGTTGACGTGGAGCAAGCTAAGCAACGAAATGCAAAAAAAACTGCACCTTCAAATAATAATCAAAATAACAAAAATAAAAAAAAGAAGAATAAAAAACGTAGATCATATTCGGAATCTGCATGTGACGAGCTTAAAGCGAATAATGATGATATAAAATTGATTTCATCTTCTTTAATATCGAAATCAGAAAAAACAACGGATAATGATGCAGAAGAAGCATCTGATGACGGTGAAAATGATGAAAATATGGATGAACGTAATATTTCAATAGTTGGTGGAAGAAAACAACGAAGCTTTTCGGAATCTCGTAGTATTAGTGATTGCACACCGACATTTAAGGGCATTCTAAAGCACTACAGTCGTTATGGCCGCAGTATTTCAGAAAGTTGTTCATCTATTGATGATCAATATTCATGTTCAACTGAAAATTTACAACCATGTGAATCTTTTAGTGTTATATCTGAAGAGGGTATTGAAGATGATGCAGGTGCCCTTGAAAGTGGCCATTCACTATCAGAAAGCTGCAAAAAGACTGTTAGATTTAGTGAGGTTATTCATAAACAATTATTCAGGTAATAATTAAAATAAAATATTAATATATAAAACAAAATAATTTACAAAAATTTAAATTTTTGTTATAGTGGTCTCACTTAAAATCAAATACGTAATGCAGTATTTTCATATTTAATTGGCTTATGCAATTTTGAACATTATTTCAAACTTTATTTTATTAAATGGAATTGTTTTTTTGAGAATAACATTTATTCAAAAATGAAAATTTCTATAATATTTATTTATCATGGTCTTAAATTGCTTTTTTATTTACTCAAAATACTTGCTACCATATGTTATAATGGGGTCTTTAAACATATGTATCATTACTTATGCTTATTCTCTTATTAAAGAAAAACAAATTGATGTCTCAAGTGTATGTCTGAAATTTTAAATGAAAAATGTGAAATATAGCCACATGTATTTTTATTTTGACTAAAATTTTATTTTCCATCAAAAATTATATTTAATTGAAAAATTGATGTATTTATTATAAGTATTTTTACTATTTTAAATAAAATTGTATTTGCAAAAGATACTGTGAAGTAATAAGTATAAGCGCTTGTCTAGATTCTGTCAGTTAGTAAAAGTTTTATTGCAACGAAAATATTTCAAAATTAGTTCAAGGTCCATTTTGAAAAACGATCTTAAGACCGTTTAGTATAGGGTCATCAAATATTTTATATTATGTATGTTAAATTAATTTGTTATTATAATTTCTGAATGAGCCAAGTTGCTGTACCTGTTATTCAGCTTGTTTTTTTCCGGGGAACCCAAAACATTGAAAACTTAATGTCAAAATTCTTAAACAAAAACAATATTTTATAGTGTTATTTTTAAAATAGAATCATAATACGCAATAATTTATAAACACACTTTCTTGCCAAATTTTATGTTTTTCTTTAAAAAAAAAACTTAAAAGATATTTTAAGGAAAATTTATAATCACATAGCTATGTTTATAAAAAAAACATATAAAATGTTTATGAAATGCTAATAAAAAAACTTTGCAAAAGGTAGATTTGCGTAAATGACAATTTTGGCAAGTTGTTGTATAAAGAACAAATTTATATGCATACTTATACTCGTATATTTTTGTTTATAATGGAATCGCAAAAAATGTCTTGGTGCTGCGAATTTATTTCTATTGTTTAATTACTTTTAAATTTTATTTGGCTAATGTAACTAGGGTTTAGAAAATTGGCATAAGAAAAGCATAGCAATGTTTTGATTCCATTTCTAAAATTCTTTTTATTATACTTATGTCATTGTTTTAATTTTAGCTTTACAAATTTATTTAACTTTTCTAATTGAAATAGCCCTACACAATATTTTTTTTACAAATTCAATTTCCAAAGCGTTATATTACATATATGTATGTATAAGTTTGTTTTGTTTTAAATAAGCATTTTTATTTCTATTTGAAATTTTATCTTTTTTATATTTTTAATTTAAATATTATGACATTATTTATGCTCAGTTTTGTGTTGATATAAAAAAGAATATTAACAATTCAAAAACAGAAATCGTACGATGAACAACACAAAAATAAAATGTAATTTTCAATAAGTATATTAGTTTTTTATGAAAATAAATAAAATAAATAAACAAAATAATAAAAGATTAGGAGCGCGTGTCAAGTTGAAGAGTTTTCATATCGCATTTGTTATAAAAATATCCAAATCAAATTAGTTTACGCATTGCCGAGTGAAAGTAAATTTTTCTTTTGCTAATATTTGTATTTTTACAATCGGGATAAATTAAAATATCGTTCATATAATAGTTATGTCACGACTGCATAAATACCCCATATAATAGAAACTATTTAAAATGATTCAGAACTCGTAAAAACTTTACGAGTTTTGTTATGAGTATCACTAAATTAAATTCAATTTTGTTTTAAAATTTTCACTAATTACTTTCATTGCTTGTTTCTAAAGAGGTTTATGTTTTAATTTAAACAATTCAATTGGAAATACGTTATCACATTGCTTGTAATAAATCGCATAATATGAGACTTATAAAATATTTTTAATTTATTTTTTGTTAATAGTAGCAAAATATTCATATATTTACTTATTGTACAGACGAGATGTCTTTCAAAAATTTAAATATTCTACAAGGTATAGGTATATACTTTTATATTGCTCATAATAATAAAATGTGTTAATTTTTGAGTATTTATTTACTCTGTTTTTAAATAAATATTTGTTCTTGTAATCATTGATAACAACAGTCAAGTAATACCTCTAGGCTTTGTCAATATAAATATTATTTTTTGAAATCGAGCTATATAAGTATCTTAACTTAAATTTTTATTTTTATCAGAAAAATAATAACAATCAATTTTATTAGAGATTTTTTTTTTGAATTCGGTAACTATTAAGTATGCAGTGTATATTACGTTTAGTGATCGTCTGATTTATTTGTTATTAAATATTATCATAAATGAGCACTATAATACATGTTTGTATTTTTCTACGGTTAATTCTTTATATACTTAGTAATATAACTTGATTTCAAATCTATTTTTTTATTTTAAATATTAAAATTTTCTTCTAGAATGTTTTTATTAAACATACCTACATTAAATAAACAAGTACTTCATTTTCTATTATCAGAATTGTTATCTACGTAAATATTCTTCAATATAGTCTAATTTAATATTAATTATACGTTACGTACTTAAACTATACTGTGGCACGTTGTTTTACGTAAGAACTTAGATTGTAGAAATATGGAGCGCACATAAATTAGTGTAAAGTATTTGTCGTTATATTACAAATACTATTCTATAAGTTTTTTTACCGTGTCTAACTTTCTTAGCACATTTTTAATGCTAACTTTATAATTAGAATTATATACTCGTGAAATATGACTTGAACATCGAATATCCGCATTTTGCAAGGGACCTTATTCTTTTTTGTTTTAAGTTTCGAATTTTCTCTTTATATTTTGTATTTTTTCAATCATTAGACAATATTTTAATAACAAAACACATAATTGCATAATATTATTGTGTACGCAATATTCAGAGAGAAGTAATATATAAAAAGAGGGGTTATAAATAAAATTTTAATTGTTTATGCTATACAAAATATCTTTTCATGTCTAATATTAGAAAAAGCTTAAAAAATTGTTGCGCTTTTTTTTTAATTTTCAATTTCATATAGAATAAATTAATTTGTTCTTTTACTTTTTTTTTAAATTTTGTTCAAGTATTTTTGAAAGGGTTGCCAATTCTTTTAAATTATTTAATATTTCATAAATTTATAACTTGAACTCTGTTCCTAGTCTGTCTAGTACGATACGATAATTGTACTAACTTCGATTAACTAATATGAGAGAGTTTGAAAAACAATGCTTGTTTGATTCAAATAATTAATAAAATCTATATTGAATATACCAGTAAATAAAATGAGAGTTTAAAACAAACCTGTAATAACAAACCAAACTGATGTAACAATCTCTTAAGTATATTTTAAAGTTCCTAATTAGTTCTTTTTATTTTGAGTGATTTAAGAATTTATTTCTTAATCTTTTTGGGTCATTAAGATGTATTTTTAGCTGAAATATACTTTTAGATAACAAATTACAACAATTTTAAATATTTGGCAACTTTTTTTTGGGTACGGTACGTAACATGAATATGAACTTCATTATATTTAATGTTTTATTTTTGTAAATAAACATAAATGATTTACTTATGCATGTATGCTTTTAAAGATATTTAAAAGATTTGTCGTTCTAAATTTGATTTTTTCATGTTTATTTTCTTTTAGAATGGATTCAAGCATCTTGGGTCAACGTAAGAAAAATCAGAAGAAAAAGAATCAAAAATTACGAGCTTTGAAAAGGCGTAATAGCGAAGGCGATACAGCTGACTATGATGATAAGGTTTGTTTTTATTCACTTTTTTTGTAAAAGCGAACACTGAAATGACATTACTACAAACAATATAGATATATGTATGTATAAATATGTATGTACTTGTTTGTACTCTTGTTTGTAGTTCATTTAATATATTTTAATTGCTTTTAGCATGACTTGTTATCTAAGTATTTTAAAGCTTTTTTCTTCAATTATTGTTATCATTCAAATGTTGTTTTGAATTGTAGGACAAATAAAATCGAAAATACGCCCCGAATTATTATTAAAATTCTGTTATGTAATAATACATTTGCAATGAAATCAGTACATGAATGATTATAATTAATTTTATGTTAGTGAAAATTCAATTATGAATTGTAAAGAATGTTCAAAGTAGTCATGTTGGGTGCCGGTTTGAGTTCTAATTGGACTCTAAACCTAAAAATAAAAAACCATTAAGATAATAAAATCCTATTTCCAAATTTATTGAGGGGACAAAATGAGAATTCAATTTAAAAATTTATTCATTACAAATTCATCATGTCATTTTTTTCTTGGCCCCCCTGCAATATAATTCTTAATATTTTAAAAATCTTAAAATAAACAAACCAAACATAAATGTATCTACACTAATGTAGTGTTATGCTGTGCAACTTTCGCAAATTTTCCTATGTTTAGAGTGCGAAAATAAAATAATACTATGCGAAAATCGTATCGCAAAGCTAATTGAGAAATTTTACCTGAAATATAATACTTTTGCGGGAAAAATAAGAGTTCTACTTGCAAATTTGTTATTGCAAAAATGGTATTATTTTGCTGCTATAAAGTGGCCACTTCTGCATTTTTTTAAAAATTCCTGTTCCATTACATTTTAAGCATTCCTCTCGTCTTTTGAAAGAATTTTTTTGATGAACTATTTTAAAACAGAATAATGGGTGTATTACATGTAAATATTTTTTTGAATATCATTTTAACTGAAATTTGATCTGCATCGAATTTAGATCGTACAATAATAATAATTAATTGTAAATAAATACATGTAAAATAAAAAAAAGGAACATTAATATTTTTTAAACAGTAATTATAGAAATTGAGTTATTTCAAATAAACTTCAACAAAAAAACAGCAAATACATAAAAGTAAAATTTTATTACCCAAAAATTTACGTATTTATTCCCGGAAATAGCGTTACACTCCGCCAGATTTTGTATTTGAATTGAATATTTTTATTTTATATTTCAAATTATTAAAATATACTATCTTATTGAATTTCTAATTAATTATTTATTTCTTTTTAGGCACGATCTTTATTATTAGAAAAGAAGGGCCTAAAGTCATTAAACAATAATGGGAATCTTAAATCTGACCAGCAGAATAACCATAAAAATCGTACTGAATCGGAATCATCCGATATTGAATCGAAAAATTCTATGATTTTTGATTTAGAAATATAAAATCAAAATAAATAAACAAAAAAAGAAAAAAAAAATTGATAATATATTAGAATACTAATATCTATTTGGTCTACAATGTAGTCGCTATATAGAATAAAATATATTTTCATTATCTTATTTACTATTACTTTAATATAAAAACATATTGTTTAAAAAAATGAAATTAGGTGTAGTTATAATTTTACATATTATTAATTTTAAATATTTTTGTAGGTTGTCTGTCAAATAATTAAAAAAAAAACAATTGTCCAGTTATTTTAATTAACCTAAAATATTAAAAAAATCAATACCAGTTAAAGAATCCAACTTACGAATGTTTTACAAAATCATAATCTTATAACAAAAATAAAATTGTATAACTTGGTCTTTTAATTTTCCTATGAATTTGTTTGGTTCTCATTTGTAAACTATAATTATTTATTTTTAAAAAATATTGGAAACGACTATTGTATTAATTTTGAAAATATGTGAAATAACTTCGGGAAGAAATTATTTAAATGAATACATTGAACAATTTTGTTTGTTGTTCTATAATTTATGAAGTAAGAAACGAAAATATTGTATAATTTTGTTATACGATAATATAAAAATATTAATAAAAACTATATTAAGATTTTTGTTATAATATGGTAAATATTACATTCAGTGAACATCAAATATTTTACCTATATTTTGTAATTTAAGTTTACGTCTATAATTTGAAAATAATTACTAAAAATTTTGCAAAAAGAAATTTATAGGGATATCCCTGAATATAATTTGTATTGCCAGAAGAAAATTTAATATCAAGAAGTAAATTTAATAAAATTGGCAACAAATGTTAAAGCCTTAATATTTTGTATTTAATAATAAATTCATATTAAAATTTTCTTAAATTTCATTTTTGTTTATGTACACATATGTTTTTTAAAGCAAGATATGCAATGTTGTTTTGCCATTAAACAAAAAAGTAGTGGAGGCTATTCACAAATAATAAAGTTTACCATTAGTACAAAATATTCAATTATTTAACATTTTATTTATGTTAAATAATATTTCTATTTTTTTGTGATTTAGGCTCTTTACAACAACATTTTTTGACATTCAACAATATTTTTGAAACTGTACGAGAAAAACAATAATCATATCTTTATAAATATGCATGTACCTTATAGTAAGTTTTATTAATGCATTAAAACTTTTTTATATTCAAATTATTAAAAAAAACATATATACAAACATAATTTTAATTGAAATTAGAATAATTATTGAATACATATTTAAAAAATGAAGATTATAATGTTAAAATTATATACATATTTACACATATTTTGGTACCGTTTTTCTTTTACAATTTTTTTTATTAATGTTATGAAAACTTTTTGGGAAGAAAAAAAAATGTTAAAAACTTATGTCCTGATGAAATTTATAATAAGAAATTTTAAAGATTTAAAATATGTATATTTATTTAAAAAAATTTTTTTGAATAATTTAAACAGTTTTGAAAATATACAAATTTATTTTGTAATTGAATATTTTATTGTAGAATTCAAAAATTAATGTACATTTAAAATTTTAATTATGCCATAAAAATTTGTGATTTCTTTTTGTTTACGGAAACTTTGAATTACTTATACAATTTTGCTATTAAAATGAAATTCTTTTAATCATAAAGTACATGTGCTCTAATTTTAATAAAGTACATATGCTCTAATTTAAATGACAAATTAAAAAAAAAGTGCATTTAAATTTTATTTACTAACAATTCTGGTAAACAATATTTATTTACCAATTTAAACTTTATAAATAAAAAATAGATAATATTAAACACTTAATACAAGCAGAATAATATATTCAATTAACGTATGCAGTTTAAAACAGTGATATATATATAGTAGACACCATTATATCTATTTTAATGATTAAATCTGTTTTTTGTAGTTTTATTATATTATTTCTACAATATATTACATTGTAGTTTTATTATATACATGCTTTTTTTATTCAACTTAATAGAATATAACTATGCAATGAATATATTATGAAAAATTATTAAAATTTTTCAAAATTAATAATATTACAAAATCAATCAATTAGAAAATACAAAATAAACATGATACACATATTAATGAATTCTCACAGAAAAATTTTTAATCACTGAAAAAACATCCATCCCATAAACACAAAATAATATAATAAAATATAAAAAGTTATTAAAGCGAAATAAAATAGAATATCAGCTTAAAAAAACCTTTTTATGTATATAAATTTCAAACACGAATAATTATATGAAACAAAGAATAAAGCAAATTATTGTAAAAATAAGGCAAAAACGAAAATTTTAAAAATAGATTTATAGTTTTTTATCAGCGCAATAATAAAATTGGTTAAGGTTTTCTTACAATTTTAAAATGAATTAGAAAGTTTAGAAACTCCATCCAAATTTATCTTGTTTTATTTTTTTTAAATGGGTATTAACTCATATAACAAACGAATATATAAGAAAAATTAACATTCTTAATTTTGTAGAACAAAAATTATAAAAAAAAAAGAAATTTTAACTTTTAATTTTTTCTTTAATTCTTAATCTAAAATTGATTTTTTCTTATATTAAAAAATAAGTATGAATGATTACAACAAATATACTGAATATTAAAATTAAAAATTTATGTACACATTGTGTAATTTTTATTATATTAATATACATAATTATATTATTGTTCTTAAAGAAATGTAAAATTCATATTGCGAATAAAGATTTTTAATCTTGGTAATATTAAATTTATTTATTTTTTTCTATTAATTTTTTGAATTTGATCATTTAAATCTTAAATAGATCCATTATAGAATTCTGAATGATAATTTAAAATTAAATACATGTATTAAATTTTAATACATAAATCTTAATTACATATAACATAGGTATATTAAAATTTTTATAAAAGTTGGAATTACGCTCGAAAAATCTTTAAATTATTGGTTAAAATTTTTTTATAATAATTATAATAGGTTATTTTTAATTTATTTATAAGCAAACGTAATATGTTCCATAAACTTTTGTGGCAAAAGAAGCACGTTTTAAATTTGCAGCTGTGCTCAAAGTTGCTAATAAGTTTAAAGATTTTAAAAGTTTTAGCAATCTGCTAAAGTAAACAATGTATGTATTTAAACTTTTTGGGTTCCTATTGCATCAGCCACTTTTACATTCACTTTCGTTTTTAGTTTTTAACTTTTTACAAAATTTCTATTTTTTAGTATATTTTATTGTAGAGTTCTGACTCTTGGTGCAACAGAAACTTTGCGAATTTTTTCGTTTAATTGATTAAAAAATAAGTAAAAAATAGTTTTGTCCTCCTTAATTCCTTATACTCTCCATTTAGACACAATATTGGACAATAGTTATTCGTTCTAAGTCTACGTACATACATACACATGTATGTAGATACTTGCAAACTTTTTTGTAATCAAATTAATGCTGTTTTGTTTGTTTGAATTCTCTTACAGTTAGGGTCTTCAAAATAAAAAAAAAAGTTATCTGGCTATGGTAGTTCTCCAAGAGATTACAGTAGATATTTTGTTATTCCGGATTAAAGCCTCTGAATGTTTTGTTTTAAAATGTTCAACGTAGTTTTGTTCCACAAAATGTTTACTTGATTTGCATAGTGATAATAAACACCGTGTACGCTTAAGCTGATATTTTCGTTTTTAAAATACAAAGGATATTGTCATTGTGGCACCACATAGGGATCTGAAACAGTAATAATAAAATGTTTTTTATTGTAAATTTTCCTATTAAATATTTTTCATGACAAATAATTTTCAAGTTTAAGCTATTCTACTAATCGTTTTTAACCGTGAACCGAGGAGCTGTTAGCAAATTTCACACCTTCCGCTTTTTTGGGTAATTACACCCTTATATTATACCTTCTTACTATTTTACGCTCTCTGACTCAATGTTAATTTTCTTGTCATTTGTAAAACACTTACGTGAAAATTGGGAGGATGATTTATTAGTTCTTAGAGGTAGGATGATAGATTAAGTGCTGCCAAAATTTAATTTCATATTTCATGTTTTTTTGTGATTTTATAATATGAATTTGTTATAAAAGAAGAATATCTGAAAAAATTTTTTCCAGCGAAATGAACTATATAATTATTAGTGTCTAGAAGCTGGGACATCAAAAATTTTTGAAAAGAACGGGTTTTAGATGACGGTTAATTTTAGTAATCATTTTGTCATTTTCATTTATGCTGTACCGGTGTAGGAATATGAAATTTCATCTTTCTATATTTAAGTACGTAAAAGTGTTAGAAACATGTCCACAGATAGGGCGCACGGACAAAATAAAACTAATAAGCACTTTTTCCAAAAATGTATTTGAAGTGCTAAAAAAAACGAAATGGAACAGAATGAAAGACGAAATAGAAAACACAAGAATCATCAACATAATTTTTAAAATTATTTAAATATTTTTTAAAGTCCTCAAACTGTTAAAATTTAAACTTTTCTTCATTTTTTTTTGCTTATTTTCAAAAAAAAAAATTTCAATTTTAATTTTCAATTTATGAAAATTTTGACCTTGGTGTAGGTAGCGACATCTAACGAAAAAATGTTTCAATTCAATATCTCTATTTTAAATCTAATTTCCCCTTTCCACTTTGCTTCCATTAAAAGGATATAATAATTTCCTTCTACATTTTTTGGCAATAAATCCATTAATGGTTTAAAACTTTACTAAATTCAAAAAAAAAAAAATTTCATAGTACTGAAACTGATGTATAGATAGAGCTTGTTTTTGTTCTAAATTCAAAATAATATGTAAAAATATAATATAGATGGCACGTTTTAATTTTTGTTAAAATTACTAATTTTACATTATTAATAAAGATGGAGCTGTTAACTATTCGAAATTTTATTTGTTCTAAATGTATTTGTTCTATGTAGGTTTACACCATTAATAGGACTGCATACAATAAATTTTGTTCCAAAACACAAAACAAAATTTAAGATCCGTTTGACTTGTGTTGTTGAAGTTGTGTAAATAATAAATTGGAAGAATTTTTTTGCAGATATCTTGCAATGAAATTATTGCTGTTAAAGAGAATTTCGTCCGGCGGAAGTTCGTGCTACAGGGCTTTGATTGAATTTTGAAACAACATTTTAAAGTAGTCTACTTTTTTATTCAAATAACGAGTTAAGTAATTTTTTTTTTTATGGCAGTTTACGAGTGAAATGAAATCTTATTGTTATGTAGATTTTTTTTATTAATTTTACGACCCTCAATCCTTATGACACTGGACACATATGTAATTCATACTTTTATAAATTATGCATCGAAACTTAAAATGTAAATACTCACTTTTGTGTCAAATTTATATGGATTCCAGAAAGGAGATTTGTCGGTCTCAAAAAGTAAGTCTCAAGTGTCTTATTATTGTAAGAAAATTGCATTTTATGGCAAATCTACACTTTTTGCAACTTTTGTGCATTTTTGTAAATGCAAGTGTTGCACTATTGGAAAATGGTTGCAGGATATCATTTTAAGATGTGAATTGTGATTTCCTTAATTCCTTATAATACCTTTGATAATTTCCTTATACTTCAGGTGTTATTTCTGCATATTGATAAAAAAATTTGCTAGTTAATTTTGCTATAAGACCAAAAATTCTTGCTAGAAGTCCAAAATAGTAGTAACGAAGTAAATACATAGATCAACATTTTTTAAGGCTAATTAAATAAGTTTTTACAATTTAATTGAAGAAAGTAGAAACGAAATTACACGGTCTTTCGTTTTATAGTTAATAAAAATGCAAAGTTGAAGTAGATTTTTACTCACACGTTTTTGGTTTTGATCCGTTGTAAATTTTAATGTTAAAGATGAAAGGAAATTCTTATTTGAAAATTGCAATTCAAAATTAAATAAATTGTAAATAAATCCTAAACAATCCTAATTTTTTAAAATGTGTTCAATTGTGTGAACAGTCAAAGCACACATATTATACGCAATAAATTGTAACCTTTGCTTCACTGTTACATAGCCTGTTCCTGAAACCTGCATACACTTTTTTAAAAAGTTTATATGAAAATTAAATAATTTAAAATCAAATGCAAAAAAATATATTAAACATTTATTTATTGTTCGTCTTCATATCATCCTTTAATTGCAAAAAGGAAAACTTTTCCGCTTTTAATTTTAATTAAATGTAAATTTTTTATTATCATAATTGCTCTTGGAATTCTGGAATAAACACAAGCATACGCACAAAAATCATTTTTCATTTTACCTTTTTTTTATTATTTACTCCTTATTTTATTTGCTTCCGAGCCTTATTTAAAAAAAAAAAAG